GCCCCCAACAACAATCCGGGTCCTCATTTTACCCACCTCTGGAAGGATGGAAGGCTGAGTCAACCCTGAGCCGGTGAGATTTGAACCGCTGAACTGCTGATCCCTGCAGTGCTGCATTTAACCACTGCGCCACCTTGGCTCTTTAGTCTGCTGTAGTCTGATCCATCCTTCCCTGAGGAATCTGTACTGAATACAGTGATACTTTCAAATCGCCCTGCCCTTCATCCCCCAGCAAACTCCAGAGTTCAGGCACATGCCTCTACAGAGTGCAATAGTTTATTGGATAAATGTTGAGTACTTACAGGTCTTATCCTCTGAGTGAACGATTGGTGAGCTAGAAAAATCTAGATTCCATGAGCAGCAGTGGGAACATTCTCCCCCAGTCAGAATAAAAGGTAGCTCTATTAAGCACCCGTCCTCTCTTTCTCACACTTTGCAACCACAGATATAGCACCATGGATGGAGGGACGCGGAGGAAAAACGCCACTCGGGAAACAACCAGCACCCTGAAGGCCTGGCTGCAGGAACACCGCAAGAACCCATACCCAACGAAAGGCGAGAAGATCATGCTGGCCATCATCACCAAAATGACCCTGACACAGGTTTCCACCTGGTTTGCCAACGCCCGGAGGAGGCTCAAGAAGGAGAACAAAATGACATGGCCCCCAAGGAACAAATGTGCTGATGAGAAAAGACCCTATGAGGAGGAGGAGGAGGAGGACGAGGAGGGAGAAGGTCAAGGGGAGAACCTAAAGAATGAGAAAGTCGAGGGTATCTCCTAACCATTCTTTAGAATACTGCAAGCTTATACTTTTTTCTTCCTATATTAGCTTTGCTGACCCAGGGATCCACTGGATTAGAATGGCATGTTGACCTGGCATGGTGGCAACCATAGTCCTGTACATTTGGAGGCATCAGTTTGGGGAATGCTTCCTGACATCTTCTGCTCACCATAGCAAATTGGAATATGCAGTATATACGCAATATCTGTTCCTGGGATTGTGCACATAACTATTGGGGAACACTTGGACAGGGTATCCTAGAAAAAATATCTGTGAAGGGACACTCTAGATTATATTTGATAATAGAAGGATAAATTTCCCTCTTAACAGGCAATAGCCTCGCAGTTGCATTGCACAAACCAACATCCTTAACAACTCAGTGGCTGTATTCACACATGCTTTAAACCTAATTTCCGAGTTAATCCATGTTTCCCACAGCCCCACAAACTAACCTGATGTGCTGAGGCACTATACCAACACCTCCAAAACAAATTAACCAAGATTAACACTAAACAAATCTAAACTAAATCTTTAGCAATCAAGGTGTAAATCCATCCACCACCTCATAAGCAAATGCACTTTTTTTTTAAGAGCAGCAAATAGTTCTTGAATCCAATAATTCTTCAGAAGGCGTGATTTATAGCCAGTTCTGTATAGCATCCTTTGGGAAACTGGTATTCTCAGATGTGCAACGATGGGAATGTACTTATGTGGGGATGAAAATTGCCGCATTCAGTTGTGTGCCAAGCTTAATCTGGCAGGGGGAGAGATAGGTATCAAATGATTGTTTCAACTGTTAACTTCTCCAAGCCTGGGAGCTGACTTGGAGATGTAAAATTACACACGCAAGAGGAAAAGAGTGGTAGATATAAATAGTTTTGAAGTATTTGTTACTTCCAACTAGAGTGAATACCTCAAATGCATGCCTCCATTTTAAACGTTGCCTAAAGCTTTGCGACTTTAGCAAGTGACTACTAGCTTACGTTCCCTAGTAACCAGTTCAAAATAGTGACTGACCATTCGCCAGTTAGACTCGGAGGAAAACCCCAAAGCGTTGAGACCAGGGGTTCTTGGGAATGATTTGTGCCAGGCTCTCTTAAACAAGAGGCACTGCGTTCAGCAAATACTAGATAACACGTGAATGAGTTAAGCAGCGTTTCCCCTCTTCTATTCTTCCCAGAGCCCTCCGGGAAGGAAGACAAAGAGCTGGGCCTAAGCGACCTCGACGACTACGACCCACTGGAGTCGGAAAGCTCGGAGGGCGAGCTGAAGACTCAACCCTTCGGCCACGTGGAAAGCAACGCGTGCGCCAACGAGCCAAGGAAGGAACCCATCCTGGTGACGGGCGCGGCCTCGCTGGAAAGCCCCCTCGACAGGGCCAAGAGCTGCCTCAAGGAGCCCGGCTCGGGGCCGGAAGGCTGCGAGGCGACGGAGCTACTGGACGCCAGGCAGAGGAGCTGCGAGGCCAAGCCGTGTTACCAGCCCCAGCCGCCGCCCCTCGAAGGCGGCGGGAAGCCGAGGATCTGGTCGCTAGCGCACACGGCCACCTCGCTCAACCAGGCGGAGTACCCCTCGTGCATGCTGAAGCGCCAGCAGGGGGCGGCGAGCGGCGTCGGGGCGGCGCAGGCGGCCAGCGTCCTGGAGAGACCCCCGAAGGATTCCCCCGTGGCCAACCTCAGGAACTGGGTGGACGGCGTGTTCCACGACCCTCTCTTCAGACACAGTACTCTCAACCAGGCCTTGAACAGCACCACAGTGTCTTGGGCGACCACCAAAGGCTCCCTCTTGGAGACGGGGGCTTTGGGGCGCTCGCTGGGGGCCAAGGGGCAGCTGGCCGGCCTGGCTGGGCCTCAGGACTCCGGCAAAGACTTCTTGGCTTTTCCCAAAGCGGGCAGCAAAATGTTCTGCTCTTAACGACCGAGCCCCCGTCCCGTCCCGTCCCGTCCGCCTCCCTGGATGTCAAGGTTGGCGGGGGTGGGTGGGTG